CCCTGGAAAGGTGCCCTTGCTGCTGCTGTCCCTTCACTGCTCAGGGAGGGATTTTAGAGTCAAGGGTCCTCCTCAGCTACGGCTGCAGATGAACCTTGGACACCCCCCAAATGCCTGACCAGAAATTACTCTCAGTTTGTACAAAATGCATACAAAGCACATCCCTGCTCTTCACCCATCTCCCCACTTGTTTAATATTTATGAAAGCTGATTACAAAACACAAGTTTATCACTTAAGTGTTTAGCAAAGTTTTAAGTAACTTAAATGTTTATGCTGAGTAAACAAGCAGCCTTCTGTGGTTTTCTTTTTCATAAGCTTCAATTCCAATCAAAGGCAGGTATGTGAGAGACCTATTTGACCCCACTGACTTTATACATTCAAGCCATAATCTGCCCAGAGTTATTTGTGTTCTTTTACAAGATATTTATTTCAGATGTTAACTGCCACCATGTGTGTGCTTGTGGGCCCATCACATAGTGCACAGAGGATGAAAATACATTTAGGAGACTGTGAGATTCAGGAGCACACAGCTGAAATGCTAACGCTGCTGCCAACTCTGGGGAGCGGAGAAGAGGTTTCTTCCCTGTAGTTGGAAGTAGGAAAGGCTTTAAGTTAAATAATAAATTTATTTTGCTTCCCAGCACCCAGAATATCCACATCTTCCGGTTCATCTGCAAATGAAGACTAATTTACAGTATACATGCAAGAGCCATTTTTACTGCTCCAGCATACAGCCACCTGTGCTTGCTTAGAGATGATAGAAACAGTCCTAAAAAATGTTCATGGTGCTACAATAGTGCTAAAAACCCTGAGTGCAGGCTCCCCACAGGAAAAAGATAGCACATCCAAACTGGGCAACCCAAGGAGCTTAATATAGGCTTAGGAAGGGTACAGAGTACCGAGGGATGTGAGCTAGTAAACACCAAGAGTCCCAGGCTAAGTGTCAAGGACAGGGATTAGTTACCAGAACCCAGAAAGAGCAGCTATTGGGAAAGGTCTCTCACAGGAGTGGTGGTCTTCAATAGGGGGACCCAGCCAAAGTTCAAGGTTTCCTTGGCTTAGAGAGGTGGTCCACACAAGCAAGCCCCAGGCCACACAGGCAGGTGGAGAAGGGTAGGGAACATACCTGAAGCACAGATGGAAATGCCCTGCATTATCTAACAACCAGAGAAGAGTTTAAATGACAATAAACTAACTTACCATATAGCCATATAACAGAATACTATGCCTTTCAGAAAGAAGATCTGAATCCAGACCATATTGACATTGCCATGGTTAAGATACCCACAATATGCAACAATTAAATAAGAAAAGCAAGTTAAAAATCAATAAACTAAGCCCCCAAATTTGTATACACATCAAATCTTAACAGAGGTTAACTATGTGAGGAGAGATGTAGGTAATTTTCCTACTCCTTATCTATTACCTATATATTTTAGAACTTTTATTTATGTACAGCTTCTCAGTTTAACTTCTATTATGCCCCAGGGATCATAAGATGAGAGTGTGTTTGACTACTGAAGCTTGGATTTAGATCTCGTTGTAGGCTGGGCTCTTTTAAACAACCGCACACTCTATTACTTTTTTGTTACCAAATATACAACAGAAAATAGGGAGAACACTGGTCTCACTAATGGATACTATCTCAGAAGTAAATACCTAAACTAGGCTAATTTTCAGAAGTCTTGTCCAAGGTATTCAACAAAGGTCACAGTAACCAATTGTGAGGAGCAGTCTGTGTTTGCAGAAAGTGACTCCTGATCTAGCAGCTGTGCATGTACCCCAACTATATATCAGAATCCTATACAAACCAACTAAGCAAGCAGCCATGGCCAGCCATCATGTAGAACACATTTGAAAAATAAACAGTAGGGAGGGCTGCAGAGTTCTCTCTAACCTCCTTTCTCCTCTCAGCGAGTTAGGCAGAAAGGCATATTAATTTCTCAAAGAACAATGAAGGAGTGCCTGCTCTACTTTGTCAGGCTGGGCAGGCTCTTCTGTCTCTGGGGTGGGGCTGAATCATGCAGTGAGTCACAGGTTGAGGGGCTTGAAATCAATCCACTGCTTCCCAGTCGCTCTACAACCTCTGGAGTGCTCCCCCAAAACTCTGCCTTTCTTAAGTGAGGACACTCTAGGCCTCAATTTCCATTCTCCGAAACTCAAAGCACAATAATAATATTATTATTTACCATTTACTTAGTACTTTATGCATACTAGGAACTCTGCTTGGTGCTTAAACACGTATCTAATTGGTAAACACACCTCTGAAACAGGTTGGACTGCCTCTGTTTCACTAATAAGTCTAACAACACCAAGGCCTCCTGAGGCCATCCATACATCACAGTAGAGATGACAGTGGTGCTGGGGCACAAAGGTGGATCTGCTGACTCCAGAGCCTGAGCCCTATGTACCACCCTGCACGGCCTAGTGAAAGCTGACTGGCCAACTTCTGCACCTCCGTCCATGCTGGGTTCATAGCTGCCTGGGCCCCCAGAGCCTTCCTCTCCCTCCCAGGCTCCACAGTGAGCTGAGCCCCAGCTCCTTCTAGCAGCTTTTCCCCCCCTCCTGAGTCTCTAATTACAACAAAGAAAAATGTCACCAAGCACAAGATCCACAAAGCAGCCTTCAGGCACTGGCCAAGGGTGGGGTGGGGAGCAGCCATTAACTGATGCCCTGTTTTAGGAAAGTCAGCCAAAGCCCTGGGTTTAGGGCCAATCACTGGAGAAAACACTTCTGAAGTTTCTCTTTAGATAGAGATAGTCACAAAACTAAGTACTGTATGAGTCAAAAACAATGTTAAAAGGTTAGCTATAAAGAGCCCTGGTAATGTTTACTATGCAAGCAAAGCTCAATTCTTCTGAATTCTTTCAAATAAAGACTTGTTGCCTTTAGTTTTTCACATTTAAAATGTTAACAGTGCTCTTGGCAGTTGAGCCACACTATAGACTGGCCCAGGACACTCTGACCTCAGAGAGTCCCTGGGTTCACTGTAATCTCTACCTGCATATGAACCTCCCCTCACTAAGATGCCAAGAGGCAACTGGTATACTAGCCCAAACAGCCAACTTAACAATTAATTTGGGCTGTGCCTCAGTGATTTCAGGTTTCCTTTCCAGGAGGAAATGCTGGAGCCCAGAAGACTGCCTGGTGATGCTATTAACAGAGCATGAATAACCCGTGAGGAATCACCTGGCACTACTGACCTCTCAAGTGGAGGGTATGCTCAGCAGACGGAGCCAAAAAGAAGAGGTAATTCATTAGAAGGTAAAGCTGTCTTCCAGTCCATCTGAAGGATTCTGTGATACTGCCTTGATTTCATATCAGATACTCTCTTGCCAGCTGCATGTTCAAGGCCCTCTCACTATTTGGTTTCATTTTCACTTTCTACCCTTACTTCTTACTCTCCCCTATATAAACTCTACACTGTAGAAATCAAATGATCTAGGTATTCTCAACTCTATGCCTCTGCTCACACTCTTCTCATACCTGCAATGCCCTTTATCCTGCTAGCTTCAATCTGGTTTTAACCAAAACACTTGGTTCTTGAATTCCATGTCGCATCCCACTTCTCTGTGACCTTCCCTGAAGCCCCCTTCCACCCTCTCACACCTCTTGCCTCCACCTACCCCATGCCCACTGAGGTTTTCTCTATTGTCCTCTCCTGTCATTTCAGAGTATACTGCACTTAAGCTGCCTTGTTACTCTTAAACTGCCTTGTCCTATACTTGACTGTAAATCAGTAAAACTCTGTTTTGAAAACAAAGGTAGAGTACACGTTCCCACAAACACACAGACTCGTGTAATCTCCTAGGGGCCAGGTGCTCTCTTACTCATACTGATTTTCCTTAAGAGGATTGGCATCTAGTACAGGCTAACCAAATCTTGGCTTACTAGACAGTGAAAACCTTCTATTGCCCAGAATTCCTGTGTCCCTGACTAAACAGTCCTAAACCTCATCTTATCTGGAGATAAGATATTGTAGAAATTGCCCCTGTTCTGTTCCCACACTGGGAGTGGGATTAGTTGTAGTTTACACAACTTTGCAGCTGCAACCCAAACAGCGTTGGGTAGCTTTTAGTCTACAGATAGTTCAAATGGGTATGTCAGCTGTACTGTTCCCCTCCTCTTCAGGAACTAAATTCATCTCTTGAAAATGTTTCTGCAAGACAGACCCAGTCCACTTCAAAAGCAGCTTCCTTCCAGCAAGAAGCCTATAAGGGTAGCCTTTAATTTTCCCTGAGTGTTTACCAATCTCTGAGAAACACATTCTTCTGCCCAGTAAGACATGTCACAGGTCCCTGAAAATATTCGAGTATATATTTCTAGCTATTCTGTAACAGTGATTATGAAAGGAACCTGGGTCTCAGACTCCAAATGTTTTCTCCTCACTAACCTCTTTGTTTCTTGAACCACCCAGCCCTCTGCCTTACCAACTCGGGAATTTGGGATGGGCAGATGGCTTCTGGCTGGAAGAGGCACTTAGTGTTCCAGAGGGGCAGGGTAAGAATAATCACAGAGAGGCAAGGCAAACAAAAGTTCCCTTCTGATCCCCTTCTAGCAGCTTCTCCCAAAGCCCCCTTCCCAACTCCTAACTAACCCTGGCTCTTCCCTCTTCCTCCTGAAGACTCATAGAAGGTACTCCAGCAATTCTTAAGCATCTTCAGAGTGAGCATGACTCCCTCAAAAGGGGCCGATGGGATCCAAATATTTCCAAACAGCATGTCATTTCTAGGAATTGCCTCTCCCTCAGTCTTTCTCTGCTGGGGCCACCACCCTCCAGTATAACCATGAATGGACCCGTCCTAGGTCATTCAGGCAGTAAGGTCCCCTGCCCTAGCTACTTGGGGCTGTCCTCCTTCAGGGTTCTCAGAAACACTCAGTCATGGTGCAGAGGAACCAGGACAACCTTGGCCTACATCCTGGTCCCAAGAGTCAGCACACACAAGAGCTGTGGTGGGCTGTAGCCAGCCCAGCTCTCTGTGACATCACACGGCCTTACCTCATCCCACTCTGAGGCAAAGGAGGGAGACTTCTCCAGCCTCTTCTTCCCGATGCTGCAGTTGGATAAAGACTCACTCCGGCTCCCCATTGTAGCGTCCTCCGTGGGTGAGCAAGTCAGGAGATCAGAGTCAGACTTGGACAAGCTGCGGCTGAGTTTGAGTTCGGCTTTGGGTTTGCTGGTGGGAGGGGCTCGGCTTCTGGCCCCGCTCCGGTCTCCTTCTTCCTCGGCACCACCAGGGTGTGGAGATGCTGTGTGAGTCAAAGTTTCGGGGTGTGATTGGCTGTTGGTGGTCGGCAGTCCTGCTGGGTAGCCCACTCCCTTACTTTGGTCCAGGACACTGGGCAGGGAGGCTCCAGGAGCATGTACACCTGTCTCCTCCAGCTGCATTCTGGCCTCGTGGCAGGCAACCTGTGTGGAGGACCCTTCTGGAAGGCTCTGGTCAGCGGTGGATAGCAGCTGGAAAGGGTCCTGCCCCACCTCACACACTGGGGAGGAGCCGTGGAGGAGACCTGAGAATTGCTCTGGGACCTGCCCGTCCTGCCTGTCTGCAGAGTCCTGGCTCCAGCTGCTGCTGCTCCTCCTGTGGTCTTGGAGTGGATGGAGAGACAGAGGAGTAAAAAATTAAACATGGCAAAAATCAACAAAGTTCCAGTGCAGTGAGCATACGGCAGAGCAGAGGAATTCAAAAACAGGGGAAGAGAGGGAAAGAGAAGCTGGATAGGCTGGGGAGAGGGCAGAGCAAGCGGACAGAGAGGAAGAAAACAGTTTCATATTGTTCTTAATGTTCAACTTGTACCCAAAGTCAGAGCATTTATGAAATTCCAAACACTGGCCTGATTAATGCTATCTGGCAGCCTTCCCTGTTGTTAGATTTCTGTTAACATTAACAATTAGACCTTGCTATATAAGGCTAGAAAAGTGCTAACAATATCCTACAGAAAGGACATGAGTGAGGAGAGAGTAAGTGAACAGAGTAAAAGTGAGAGAGAAAGAAAGCGAGAGTGCCAGAGAGCAAGCATGAGCAAGCGAGACTCACTCCTGGAACATCTGATACATTTCCATAAAGGCCAAAGTGTTATTTAGAGCCGCCCGCCCTCCCTTCCTCTGGCAAGCAGCAGCAGGGGGGAAAAATGGAGGTCATGATCCACAACCTGCAACTTCTGGAATTCTTAACTAAAATACAAAACAAAACAGCAGAGAATGACTGCTTCCTTCCTCAGAGGGGGGCTATTCAGAGTTCCCCGCCTCATCCTTCCTTCCTCAGGGAGCACAGACTTCTCTCTCCTCTTTTTTTTTAGAATGTGCACATCTCACTTCTTTCAAAGCCTCCCAGCTGTCCTATTTGTTTAAGTTTAACCGTAGTTGATGCACTGAAAAAAAGTCTAATTTGTCCATGCCAAGAGACATTTGCAGTTCTCTCAAGGCCTTCCCAACATCCCAGAAATCTGACACTACTGACTGATGAGGCCAACTACTACTGTACACTTGTCCACGGTATCAAATACCTCTGCCCTGAAGTAGCATAAATAATTGACCAAATCAGAATCCCACATCAGTATCACACTGGGACACTCAAGGGACTTGCCCTGCATGAACTCAGACCCATAAGAGATTTTAACCCACATCAGCAGGGAACATAACAACCCTGTGTCCAGCACTAGTTGGCATTCCCAACCTAATATTCAACTTTATCTTCTCTGTAAGTGGAATCCACGGTACATACACCAAATGACTGCCTCGTCTGCCCAAACCTCCCAAGAACTGTTCATGAGATCAGAGTATCTTAGAACTGAAAGGGTCAAGTTTAACTATTTTTACAGATGAGAAATCAAATGTCCTCAGGCCTCTAGTGGTTTGTCCAGGGTGATGGGAGAGAGGCTTTAAACCTAGATGTCTGAATGCCTGGCTCTACCCCCTCTGCAATGCTTTCCAGCTGTGTGGCCTTGGCAGTGATCTCATCTTGCTGGGCTTCAGTATCTAAAATAAGGAGGCTGGACTGCATGGTCCTTAAAAATCCCCTTTATGTTATGGTAGTGATGAGAATCTAAAGCTCCACTATACTGGGCAGGTAAACTCTCCCTCACGGGTGCTGCAGCACCCTGGCTGGGTGCCTCTCCTGTTACTGCCTGCAGAGCACCCAGCCTCCCTCATCAGCTTGCCTGCAGCCCCAAAGCTCTTTCTTGAGCCTCAGGTCCACAACTGAATGGGGTAGCCAGGTGAGGAGTGTACTTTGTAAACATGCCCTAACACACAATTTTCACTGCCCATGCATGATGCTAGTGTCCCACATTTGTTCTTCCAAGGCAGCCTTTAAGGAAGGATTCCTAACAACTAGCTCTCATAATAAGCCTGTCATCCTGAAAGCCTGAGCAGGGACATGGTTCCACCTGCCACACCCTCTCAACGAGAATGGTTCAGGCTCCACAGTCTGTTCACCTTTTAGCAGGTCTGCAGAGGTTGCAGAGGGGGCAGCCAATTAGCTCCACTTTATGGCTAAGATTATTTATCCGCAGGAGCCCAGAACTATGAATTTTGGCATCTTCCTCTACACTTGCCTGCTTCAGGACTTTCATACTCCTAACCTACGAGCCCCAATACATACCCTGAAGTTTATGTCAAGAGCACAGAACAAGCACTGAACAACTTGAATCATTTTCTAGGGAAAAAACAAGATATACATAAGAGTTCCATAAAGCTTATCTCAGGCCCCAGGAAGCCATGATTTCAGGGTTATGAATACCACAGATGACAACTGGCAACCTGAACAAAGTTGCCCTGTGGTGGTGCACTGTGGGGCCACAGAGAAGATGAGACATAAGCATCTGATGGTGGTTTAAGCCAGTAGTACTTCCCAGAAGAGGTTGACGGGGAGATTCATCTCTAGGATCATGTTCTAAATGGCCAGCTTCCTAAGATCCTGGCCCAAGGTGCAGTCACCGTTCCTCTGACTGCATTTGAATACAAAAAGAGGACTTTGGTTACAATAGCACAGGCTTCTATTCCTTTTTATCAGTTTCTAACTCCTTATTTAACAATTTTTTGGGGGTTGGGGACAGAGTCATCCAACAATAAAAGAAAAACATCACAGTCCAGAACTGGGAGCCAGCCTGGCTCACGCTGCCTGGGTGGACCTCAGAACCCAGGCCACAGAGAATATTCTGACTGCTGCTGTGGGAGCTGACAATGAAGGCCCTAACAGCCACCCATTCAGGCTAGTCATTGATGAAGAAAGAGAGACAAGATACCAAGAGCTCAATACCACACAGATGCCAGGGGAAAGATGTGGGCAGAAAGAAGGAATGGAAACTTATAAAAGGAAGATATATATGAAGAGGAAGAATTCCTGAGGGTCCTAATCCCATTACAGAAACCACAAACTACCAATGCTTTATGGAGTAGAAGAAATCATGAAAAGAGGTTCTTCTAATTACAGGCTGATGATGGCACAATGATCATCAAAACCAATGTACATGACAGGTACAAACACCCACTGCCTTCATCATCCTCACAATTCTGGACAGCAGAAGGAGGGGACAGAAGACAATATAGTGAGAAGGTTGAACCTGCCCAACAGAGACAGGTTCCAGAACTGTTGCTGTAACCACCCATTCCATCAGAAAGCATGTGCAAAATGTCTGCCTTCAGTGGGCACCCAAGAGATGTAAAGATGAAGACACTGAGTCTGTGCAGGGGGCTTACCAGCTATTGGAAGAAACAAGCATATACAGAAACATACTAGAATTCAGGGCAAAAATTAATAGATACTTTAAGAAAAATATAAACCAAGTGCACAGTGAGTACAAAGGAAACTGTCATTACTGTGAACCAGGAGGCTACTCGGGTAGGAGAGGTAGTTCTTTGAGGTGGGCCTTGAAAGAGAAGTAAGGCTTAACAGGCTTAAAGATTAGTGGAAATGCATTAGATAAAGCAGAGACATGAAACTCATCCCCAGGCACTTGTGGACTTGCAGAAGAGAACCCTCAGGCCTGAGGTCCTCCTTCTGATTGGGAATCACCATGCTCCCAGCTTCAGGACTACACAGCTTCCAACCCTCCTCGCATACTGCCTCAGCACACCTCACCACCTGCCCTGCTATAAGAGAAACAAGGACAGGTCATGAGGAGGGCTGTTTCCTTATTCTCCCACATATCACGGCCAGCTGCCCTACTGAATAGGATACCCCAGCATGCTAACTGCCAGCTCCTCCACTTCTCCATCTTTATTCATTCTGGTGTTCATTTTCTTTTTACCCTGTGAGCTGCTGAAGGAAGGGGTCCTCTGTGCTGCATTTTAATTAAGATAGGGACCTCAAGGGCTTTGAATAGTAACATTTTAATATTTACATTTTCACTCCTGCCTGTTTAAATTAAGGCTGAAAAATGCAGCTCATATGAGGACTTGTTCAGTCTAATCAACCCTCAGGTGGGTAGGGTACTGGTTTCCCAGACTGGTCTGTCTTTGTTCCATTAGGATTGGAACCCTTCAACTGCCTAGGCACTGTGGTAAGCACTGGAAACCCTGCTGTGTCCAGGAGAGCTCCTAAGTATGTGGCTGCTTTAGGAGGTCACCATGCTTGCCCGAGAGAAGGTACTGACTAGGCTATCCAGACATTTGCTAGAGATTGTGATCTATTAAGACAAATAGACCCTGATGGATAGTGACTATAATGGGTGTTGGTGGGGACTTGATAATGGGGGGAATCTAGTAACCACAATGTTGCTCATGTGATTGAATAGTAATGTACCCAAATAAATAAATAAATAAGAAAAAAAAAAGACAAATAGACCAAGAGTCTATTCTGGTCCATGGCAACCAGAGAAATAGAATAAGAGCTGGACTGGGATTCCAGAGGTCCAAGTTATAGTCTCAGCCCTGTGATTTTTTCCTCTCTGCATCTTTTTAAAAAATGAACAGCTGGGATGCATTCTCCAGAGCTCTGAGATTCAGTGTGATTTGGATCTGTGATTAGGCAACCTAAGTTCCTTCCAGTTCTATGACATTAAAAAGACTGGATAGCAGCAGGGCTTGGGATGAAATAGTTTAACCTCATGGTTAAACAGGCTTTGGACTCAGCCAGACTAAGCCTTAAGGCACAGCTCTAACACCTAACTTCTTCCTCAGCTATTAAACAGGGATAAAAATAGCGTCTACCCAGAAGATCTGTCTTGAGACAGTCAATGACCTAATCAGTATAAATGAACTCAGCGTAAGGCTGGCCCATACGAAGCATTCAGTAAATGGTAGCTGCTATCATTATTATCATTTTTCATTTACAACCATTTCCAAACTGCTCTTTATGCTAACACTGCACACAGAGGCTGGTTTCCTTTCTCCCAATTCTGCAAAGGAGACCAGTTTCTTTTAAGTGGCGCAATACACCTGGTAGAATAAAATTCAAATGCCAGGGAATGTCTAGTAGTCTTGCAAGTTTGGCTCAGGCTGGCGTGTAACAGCACAGTGGAGAATCTTCAGATCAGGCACCAATGGCCACAAGGACTCAGGGCTGCTCTACCTTGACTTGGTCCTGATTACCTCACATCTCCCCACATTTCCTTAAACTCCTCCTGGAGACTCTGTTCACTGCCTG